TCCTACCAACGCAAGAGAAGCCACGCTGACCATAAAACTGATTCCAAACTTGTGAAGTCTGCTTTATGCTAATACCTTGATTAGTCCACTAAAACCGCACAACAGGCAAAGAATACACATAGCCATGGAAAGAAGAAGATTTTGCAATTAGACATCTACATATTGACTTCAGATGTTCTATATTATTCCGAACATTATCTGAAATCCTTGCAGACCGCCAATTCTCTCACACCAGGAGTCACTCCTGACGACAAAAAAAAATCTGAAATCAATAGGTGGTTATCTGACTCCAAAGTCATTATTCTACTTTTCGACATCTCCGCCTGATGGAGAAAATATTCTGTTCAATTATGAGCTGTTTAAGTGGGTTGAATAATGCTATTGACACAATATGGGGTTCTGTAATCTTGGGATCTGGCTGTTCCAACAACAGAAACAGTAAAACATTTTCCCCAACTTGGGTCATTAGATTATTAGAATAGTTGTTCTCTAGCCATTCATATGATGATGATATGTGTGTATATGCACATGTTTATGCAAACTGTCCCAGTAGCTTGTTATGTATTGCATTTCACTTGATATGACATGACGCTGTGATATCTACAGAAATAAAATATGTAGCACACGTCTACTTGAAGTGACTGGATTGACCTTGAAGGAGCTGGGGGTGGTGACGGCCGACAGGGAGCTCTGGCATGGGCTGGTCCATGAAGTCACGAAGAGTTGGAAACAACTGAACGAATGAACAACACCGTAGAAGCAAAGCACCAGCGCCGCTTAGTTTTCACCACCAGAAGTTTAGTTTTGCAAGTACTTTAGAACCATGGATTGCACATGCCTAACATGAGGAAGCCTCTCACAGGATGGTAACACATCCAGACATCCCCTAGGCAACGTCTCTGCAAATTCTCTCACACCAGAAGCGACTTGAAGTTTCTCAGGTCGCCTCTGATATGATTAAAAGAAAAGCATTATGAGGGGTGGAGGGAATGGATTATTATGAATTCAAAATATTTGTCTGGAGGTGTTTTCCAAATTTAGGGCCAATCTGTTCTGTTTGCAAACACGTAAAAAGGCAAGAAACAGCAGGTTTGAAACAGCTAAAAATAGTCAGCTCGTGTCTTGTTCGTTTTGCATCGTGGTTCATTTCAAGGAACCTGTCCCTACAGGTTTGTTTACAGGGAAAAGGATTCTCACCTTGGGCGAGGGAAATCCTGGCCCAGGCACGGGAAAACTTTGGCCCTCCCTCCAGGTGTTTTGGACTTCAACTCCCACAATTCCTAACAGCCAATAGGCTGTTAGGAATTGTGGGAGTTGAGTCCAAAACACCTGGAGGGAGTGTCCAAGTTTGCTCATGCCTGGTTGCAGAAGAAAAAATGGAATATGCTTTTTGCAAAAGAGTACGCATTGGAACAACTCAGTGCCGAAAACAGAGCTTGCATGTGGAATTTCTGGCAACTTCAACTACAGGGATCAAATAATCTTTGAGTTGGAAAAGACCCCAAGGGTTGTAAGTCCTGCCAGGCAGGAAGACACAATCCAAGCCCTCCTCTCAGATTGTCCATCTCTTGAACCAGTGTTTCTCAGCTTTCCTAATGCTGCGACCCCTTAAAACAGTTCCTCATGTTGTGGTGACCCCCAACCATAAAATTATTTTTGTTGCTACTTCATAACTGTAATTTTGCTACTGGTATGAATCATAATGTAAATATCTGATATGCAGGATGTATTTTCATTCACTGGACCACATTTGGCACAAATACCCAATATGCCCAAATTTGAATACTGGTGGGGTTGGGGGGGATTGATTTTGTCATTTGGGAGTTGTACTTGCTGGGATTTATAGTTCATCTACAATCAAAGACAATTCTGATCTCCACCAATGATGGAACTGAACCAATCTTGGCACACAGGACTCCCATGACCATCAGAAAACACTAGCAGGGTTTGGTGGGCATGGATCTTGAGTTTGGGAGTTGTAGTTCATCTACATCTGTGGACTCAACCAATGATGGATCAGGACCAAATTTGGCACAAATACGCAATATGCCCAAATGTGAAATGGAATTGAACCAAACATGGAACACAGAATTCCCATGACCAACAGAAAACACTGGACTGGTGGATATTGACCTTGAATTTGGGAGCTGTAGTTCACCTACATCCAGAGCACACTGTGGACTCAAACAATGAGGGATCTGGACCAAACTTGGTATGAATCCTCAATATGCCCAAATATGAGCACAGAAAGAGTTTGGGGGAAATAGACCTTGGCATTTGGGAGTTGTAGTTGCTGGGATTTATAGTTCACCTACAATCAAAGAGCATTCTGAAACCCACCAACAATGGAATAACTTCCCACATGTAACCCAGGTGACCAAGAGAAAATACTGTGTTTTCTGATGGTCTTCGGTGACTCCTCGGACACCCTCTCGCGACCCCCCCAGGGATCCTGACCCCCAGGTTGAGTCCACAAATGTAGACTCCCAGGCAGACGTGTGTTCCGCTGCTGAACCATCAGGAAGTTCTTCCCAATATTTAGGTGAATCCCTTTTCCTGAATCTCTTTTTCTCTTCAGTGTGACCTACTGACAAATATGTAAACATATGTCATCAGTTGGGGACCCCTCTCCCCAGTACCAACTGCTGCTCTGGGCCAGAGTGAAGGGGGGGGGGGCAGGGGACAGTTCCATCTTGTCTCCTGTGCTATGCTAATAATATAATATAATGTTTATAATTTATAATATTAATTTATAATACATTATAATATAATACAATATAATACTAATAATAATATGATATAATTATATGTTTTATATTACATGTAATTTTACTAATAATATTACAATATAATGGTATAGTACAATATAGTAATATATAGTACTGATATTGTATTATCAGTATTATATATTACTACTAGCTGTCCCCTGCCACACATTGCTGTGGCTCAGACTGTTGATCTGGAAAATAAAGTAATGAGAAATTGTTGGTTTCTAATCTATGTAATGTCTTTATGCTTGTGGGTAAACAGTGTTTCTTGCTGTTACTTTGTCAGTGTTGATGTGGAGAGTGTCTGATTTGCCCACCTTGGAACATGCAAGATATTGTCCCTCTTAAGGGTCCCTTTCAGATCTATGATACTATATCTGTGTGTGTGTTAATAATATCTGTCTATCTATCTATCTATCTATCTATCTATCTATCTATCTATCTATCTATCTATCTATCTATCTATGGCTGGATGGCTCTTTGTCAGGACAACTTTGATGACATTTTCTTTCCCTGATGAAGGGAGTTGGATTGGATGGCCTGAAGTATTTTCTGTTGGTTATGGGGGTTCTGTGTGGGAAGTTTGCCCTGATTGTGTCGTTCGTGGGGTTCAGAATGCTCTTTGATTGTAGGTGAACTGTGAATCCCAGTGATTACAACTCCCAAATGTCAAGGTCTATTTCCCCCAAACTCCACCAGTGTTCATATTTGGGAGTATTGAGTGCTTGTGCCAAGTTTGGTCCAGATCCATCATAGTTTGACTGCACAGTGCTCTCTGGATGTTGGTGAACTACAACTCCCAAACTCAAGGTCAATGCCCACCAAACCCTTCCAATATTTTCTGTTGGTCATGGGAGTTCTGTGTGCCAAGTTTGGTGGAGTTCAGAATGCTCTTTGATCGTAGGTGAACTATAAATCCCACAACTACAACTCCCAAATGACAAATCTTAATTTTTTTGAGTGGTGGTCACTCCTTGTGTTGTGAGGCATTTTGTTACCAAATTTGGTGTGATTTTGTTCATTGGTTCTTTTGTTTTTAAGGTACTAATTATCACAGAGCATTTATATATATATATATATATATATGTAGTTAATTACTACTAGAATCACATTGTATTGTATGTATATATATCCTGTAAGCCGCTCTGAGTCCCCTTCGGGGTGAGAAGGGTGGCATATAAATGTCGTAAATAAATAAATAAACTTGGCTCTCATGTCCTCTTCTCTCAGCCTTCTTTTCTCCAAGCTAAACATCTCCATCTCCCTCAGAGGGATTTGTAGTTTCCAGACTTTTCACCATTTTGCTTGACTTCCTAGGTGGTTCCCAACCTATGAGCCGCGGCCCACTGGTGGGCCACGAGACCTAAATAAGGTCTGCGACTCTAGATTCTTAAACATGGCTTCTCCCACATGTGTTCCAAGATGGCATCTTCATTTGACCCCAAGTGACCAGTCTCCATCTCCACTCCACCTGCATCTCCGAGTGTCACTCACGTCTGTGTATCGCAGCGCCGGGTGGGCCCCCTGGACCGATGTCACCGTGAGTGGAAGCCCCTCCAGATTCCACAGTTTGCGGCTCAAGTCATCGTAGGAGCGGATGAGGTTCACCATGGCCTCCTCGCCAGTCCCAGAAGGCTGCAGAAGAGAAAGAGAACCATAGAAGAAAGTGGGAACATGAAGAAATCCAGCAGTGGACCATCACACAACTCTAAACATTCCCAATTTCAGGACCAAGCATAGATGGACATAGCGAACAGAGCACTCTCCAAGGAAAGTTAGCTTTCATATCTCCTGTCAACCTTCTTTTCTCCAAGCTAAACATCCTCAGCTTACTCAGGGGGATTTATAGTTTCCAAATGTTTGATCATTTTGGTTGACTTCCTCTGGACTGGCCAATATTCATGTCTCGAATTGCTTTACCCAAAACTGGGCACAGGGTTATTATTCCAAGTGAGATCTGACCAAAGCAGAATGGAGTGGGACTAGGACTTCGCTCATTCTTGACACTATTGATGCCGCCTAGAATCACATTGGCTTTCTTAGCTGCTGCATCACACTCTTGGCTCATGTTCAGCTTGTAGCCTACTAAAGCTTCCTAGAGCCCTTCCACTTGGACTTTTTCCAAGCCAGGCGTCGCCCATCCTATATATGTGCATTTCATATATTTCTCATGCCTAAGTGTAGTATCACACATTTCTCCTTGTTGACGTTCATGCTGAGAGGTTTGGCCAATTAGTTTTCTAATCTGCGATGGTCATTCTGAATCCTGATCCTGTCTTTTGAAGTATTAGGTAATATCCCTCTCAATTTGGTGTCATCTGCAAACTGAATAAGAATGCTTTCTATTCTAATTAAATTTTCCTCCGCAGTATTCCCTCCATATTCCAACATGTTAAAAAAGGTAAAGGTAAAGGTTTCCCCCTGACATTAAGTTTAGTCGTGTCTGACACTGGGGCTGGGTGCTCATCTCCATTTCTAAGCTGAAGAGCCGGCATTGCCCATAGACACCTCCAAGGTCAAGTGGCCAGCATGACTGCATGGAGTACCATTACCTCCCCACAGAAGCGGTACATATTGATCTCACATTTACATGTTTTCAAACTGCTAGGTTGGCAGGAGCTGGGGTAACAGCAGGAGCTCCCCCACTCTCCCGATTTGAACCGCCGACCTTTTGGTCAGCAAGTTCAGCAGCTCAGCAGTTTAACCCGCTGCACCACCAACAATAATACTGCAAGGAAAGGGTCATGGCTTCCTAAGTTTCTTTCCCCTTTTGGGTCCATAGCAAATAATGACTAGGCTACAACACACCAGTAGCACTATGTTCAGAACCACATGCCAAAAACAGTGGCAAAAGTTCCTCCGCACAATCAATGCTTGGGTCCATACTATCTGAAAGATTACACAGGTTGTACATTCCTTAACCAAAGTGTTTGGAACTTTGGGTTGTTGTAGGTTTTTCGGGCTATATGGCGATGTTCTAGAAGCATTCTCTCCTGACGTTTCGCCTGCATCTATGGCAAGCATCCTCAGAGGTTGTGAAGTCTGACAACCTCACAGACCTCACAAACTTTGAGAATGCTTGCCATAGATGCAGCCGAAACGTCAGGAGATATTGCTTCTAGAACATGGCCATAGAGCCTGAAAAACCTACAACAACCCAGTGATTCCAGCCATGAAAGCCTTCGACAATAAATGGTTTGGGACTTTATTTAAAGCACCAAAATACTGTGTTTAAAATTACCTTTGGGCTATGTAGACAAGGTGTATATGAACCACACATGAATACTGCATTTAGACTCGGGTCCCGTCTCCAAGATTATGTTTATGAAAATACAGATATTCCAAAATCCAAACAAATCAATCAACTCAAAGCGCTTCTGGCCCCAAGCATTTTGGAGAAGGGATATCCAACCTTTATTTGAAGTGCCTTGAATTTCCAAGGGAGGACACAAATAAAATAAATAAACAAAGTTTGCTTGATTACAACTCCCACCATCCATCTGCCTATACTGGCGAGGGTAGATGGGAGCTGCAATTCAGTAACAGTTTTTAACTGGGGTTTTTAAAATACTGTTAATGTTGAATTCTGTTTTAATATTTGTATATTCTCTGTGTGTGTATGTGTGTGTGTGTGTGTGTGTGTGTGTGTGTGTATAGAGAGAGAGTATGCTGATGCTTTTATGATAAGCCGCTTTGAGTCTCCTTCGAGAGAGATAAAGCAGATAATAAATATAAATATAACAACAACAACAACAATAATAAATTGAAAGGCCACAAGCTGCAAAGGCAAACCAATAGATCGATAATAGGGCTATTTCCAATCGCCCTCTGCAATGTCAGAAATACAGTTTAATGGTGTAACATTAGAAAATGTTGACCATTTCCTCTACCTTGGCAGCCACCTCTCCACAAAACTCAACATCGACACTGAAATACAACATTGCCTGAGCAATGCGAGTGCAGCATTCTTCCGAATGAAGCAGAGAGTGTTTGGGGATCGGGACATCCATAGGGACACCAAGGTGCTTGTTCATAAAAACCTATTGTCCACCCAACCCTGTTCTACACTTGTGAAACGTGGACTGTCTACAGACGTCACACTCAACTCCTGGAACGATTCCATCAGACTCTGGAAAATCCTGCAAATCTCTGGGGGACAGACAGGTGGACAAATGTCAGCGTGCTGGAAGAAGCAAAGACCATCAGCACTGAAGCGATGCTCCTGCATCATCAACTCCGCTGGACTGAATGCCACATTGTCCAGATGCCCGATCGCCGTCTCCCAAAGCAGTTACTCTGCTCTCAACTCAAGAATGGAAAATGTAACATTGGTGGACAGCAAAAAAAGATTGAAAGATGGGCTTAAAGCCAACCTTAAAAACTGTGGCATAGACACTGAGAATTGGGAAGCCCTTGCCCCTGAGCGCTCTAAATGGAGGTCAGCTGTGACCAGCAGTGCTGTGGAATCCAAAGAGGCAAGAATGGAGGGTGGAAGGGAGAAACATATCAAGAGGAAAAAGGAGCATCAAGCCAACCCCGACTGGGACCGCTTTCCACCTGGAAACCGATGTCCTCACTTCAGGAGAACATGCGGATCAAGAATAGGGCTCCACAGTCACCTCCGTTTCCACAATACTTGGAGGGCCATCATACTCAGAGAACGAGGAATCACCTAAGTAAGTAAGTAAAGTATTTCCAATCGTAGCAAAAGATAATTTTGCAAAGCCAAACAGACTACCAGGATCTCTTTTTTAAAAAATAACAATACACAGCATGCATCTGCAATTTTCCCCAGCTGACAAATAAACAAGTGTCAATCAGTTAGAAGATTAAGACATTTTTTGTCTGACTAACACAAGAGAACAGCCTGAAACATAAATCTCCTATCTGACAGGTGTCAGAGGAAGAAAAGGCTCTGCTTTCTATACAGATGTGTCATCAGACAAAGCGAAAGGCTAGTGGAAGGGACAGAAATCATCGGATGTATGTTCCATGTGCTTCCAGGAATAGAAGCCAAGGGAGAGGCTCCTAGAAAAAGAGCAAAACAGATGCAAAGCAAAACAAATCGTGGGTGAAGGGCGCCACCTCTAGACCAGCCTCATCCATTATCCTCAATGGCTTTGCACCGGCAAAATTTGGATTATAATCCAGGCCAGACATGGGCCAACTTGGGCCCTCCCTCCAGTTATTATAGCTCCAAGAAAAATGCAGAGAACAAAATCAACCTCTGTACATGGCATTCATCGACCTTGCAAAGGCATTCGACACAGTGAATCGCAGCGCTCTCTGGACCATCCTCCAAAAAATCGGGTGCCCAAGCAAATTTGTGAACATCCTGCGGCTCCTCCATGATGACATGATGGCAACAGTCTTGGACAGCAATGGCTCCCAAAGTGACCCATTTAAGGTGGAATCAGGTGTCAAACAGGGATGTGTTATTGCCCCAACTTTATTCTCCATCTTCATCGCTATGATACTTCACCTTGTTGATGGGAAGCTTCCCACCGGAGTGGAAATAATCTATTGGACAGATGGCAAGCTATTCAACCTCAGCAGACTGAAAGCCAAAACCAAGGTTACAACAACATCTGTTATAGAACTCCAGTATGCTGATGACAATGTCGTCTGTGCGCATTCAGAAGAAGATCTACAAGCCACGCAGCATACGAGAAGCTCGGCTTGTCATTGAACATTGAAAAAACCAAGGTGCTTTTCCAGCAGACACCAGCCAACCCCTCTCCAATGCCAGTGATACAGCTTAACGGTGTAACATTAGAAAATGTTGATCATTTCCGCTCCCTTGGCAGCCACCTCTCCACCAAAGTCAACATCGACGCCGAAATACAACACCGCCTGAGCTCTGCAAGTGCAGCATTTTCCAATGAAGCAGAGAGTGTTTGAGGACCGGGACATCCGTAGGGAGACCAAGGTGCTTGTTTATAAAGCTATTGTCCTCCCAACCCTGCTATATGCCTGCGAAACGTGGACTGTCTACAGATGTCACATGCAACTCCTGGAACGATTCCATCAGCGCTGCCTCCGGAAAATCCTGCAAATCTCTTGGGAAGACAAGCGGACAAACGTCAGCGTGCTGGAAGAAGCAAAGACCACCAGCATTGAAGCGATGGTCCTCCGCCACCAACTCCGCTGGACCGGCCACGTTGTCCGGATGCCCGACCACCGTCTCCCAAAGCAGTTGCTCTACTCCGAACTCAAGAACGGAAAACGGAATGTTGGTGGACAGGAAAAGAGATTTAAAGATGGGCTCAAAGCCAACCTTAAAAACTCTGGCATAGACACTGAGAACTGGGAAGCCCTGGCCCTTGAGCGCTCCAGTTGGAGGTCAGCTGTGACCAGCAGTGCTGCAGAATTTGAGGAGGCACGAGTGGAGGGTGAAAAAGAGAAGCGTGCCAAGAGGAAGGCGCGTCAAGCCAACCCCGGCCGAGACCGCCTTCCACCTGGAAACCAATGCCCTCACTGCGGAAGAAGATGCAGAGCAAGAATAGGGCTCCACAGCCACATACGGACCCACAAGCATATTGGAAGACAATCATCCTCGGAAAGCGAGGGATCGCCTAAGTAAGTAAGTAAGTAAGTAAGTAAATTATTATTATTATTAAACTTTATTTATACCCCACTACCATCTCCCCAGGGGACTCGGTGCGGCTTACATGAGGCTGAGCCCAGAATACAACTATACAAGCAATAACAACAACAATACAAGCAATTAAAATCAAACAAGACAGTAAAACAATAACATAGCATTAACAATAGGGCAACACATTTTAAAATCTATGGGTAGGCCAAATGTAATTAAAATTTAAAAAATAATGCTGGACATGGGCGAAAAAGTGATGGGGCGGTTTGTGGAAACATACAAGCAGACCTAAAACAATATCAAGTGCTTTGGAGGGCAAAGTGCTATGGGATCATTATTCTAGGAAGGCACACTGGAACAACCACGTTTTCAAGCTCCTCCTAAAGACTGCCAAAGTTGGGGCATGCCTGATGTCCTTAGGAAGTGAGTTCCAGAGTCGGGAGGCCACCATCGAAAAAAAGGCCCTCTCTCTCGTCCCCACCAATCGCGCTTGCGATGCAGGTGGGAGCGTGAGCAGGGCCTCTCCAGATGATCAAAGAGATTGTGTGGGTTCGTATACAGAGATGCGGTCACACAGCTAGGCAGGTCCCAAACCGTTCAGGGCTTTGTAGGTGAGAACCTGCACCTTGAGTTGGGTCCGGAAAATGAATGGCAGCCAGTGGAGCTCCCTAAACAGGAGGGTTGGTTGATCACTCTCTGTAAGGAGCCCCGGTTAACAACCTGGCTGCCGCCCGTTGGACCATCTGGAATTTCCGAGCTGTTTTCAAGGGCAGCCCCACGTAGAGTGCATTGCAGTAATCCAGTCTAGAGGTGACTAAGGCATTGACCACCCTGGCCAGATCCACCTTCACGAGGTGCAGTCGCAGTTGTTTTGGACTTCAACTCCCACAATTCCTAACAGCCTCGGGCCCTTACCTTTTCCCCCTCAGCCGCTCAAGCTGGCCCACGCCTGATCTAGCCTAAGCATTGATAATATTCTGGAATGAGGTTTTTTTAATCTAAAAGCATTAATCATCACTCAAAAAAGTTTTACACAACAAATTCCAAAATGACTGTCAAATTTGGGTTGTTGTAGGTTTTTCGAGCTATACGACCATGTTCTAGAACAGGGGTCGGGAACCTTTGGCCCTCCAGCTGTGGTGGACTTCAACTCCCACAATTCCTTGAGGCTCGGCATTCGCCCCAAAGGCTTACCTTGGCCCAACGAGGTTTGTTTGGCTCTTTTTCATGGAGGACGGGCAGCAAAGGGGGAGAGACGAGCGTAACGTAGCTGTGCAGATGGCGAGGAAGGATGCGGAGCCTACAGACTGGCCTCAGAGGGAGAGAGCGGGTGGAAACCCCTGCGGGCAACGCGCCTCCTCGCCGCTTAAACAGCGCAGAGCCCTTTCCCTCCAGCCTTCGCCTTCCCTTTTCCCCGACAAGCTCTGCACGACGTCACTCAGCCGGCGTCGTTGCTAGGGAGGGGGTCCATGCGGGGCGGGTGCTAAGGGCCGAAGCGGCGAGGAAGCGCGTTGCCCGCAGGGGTTTCCGCCCGCTCTCTCCCTCCGAGGCCAGTCTGTAGGCTCCGCATCCTTCCTCGCCATCTGCACAGCTACGTTACGCTCGTCTCTCCCCCTTTGCTGCCCGTCCTCCATGAAAAAGAGCCAAACAAACCTCGTTGGGCCAAGGTAAGCCTTTGGGGCGAATGCCGAGCCTCAAGGAATTGTGGGAGTTGAAGTCCACCACAGCTGGAGGGCCAAAGGTTCCCGACCCCTGTTCTAGAAGCATTCTCTCCTGACATGTCGCCTGCATCTATGGCAGGCATCCTCACAACCAGTGATTCCAGCCATTATTTATTTATCGTGTCAGGGGCAACCAGACCATTGTGTTATATTTCTAACAGAACAAAACAAACAAACAGATTAAAAAAACACAAAGTTTGCAAACTTGGTAGTTGATTAAATGTCCTTTGACCAGTATCTGGCCCCTTGGAGTGCCTCTGGTGTTGCTGTGAGAAGGTCCTCCCTTGTGCATGTGGCAGGGCTCAGGGTGCATTGCAGCTGGTGGTCAGTGGTTTGCTCTTCTCCACACTCGCATGTCGTGGATTCCACTTTGTGGCCCCATTTCTTGAGGTTGGCTCTGCATCTCGTGGTGCCAGAGCGCAGTCTGTTCAGCCCCTTCCAAGTCGCCCAGTCCTCTGTGTGCCCAGGGGGGAGTCTCTCATCTGGTATCAGCCATTGGTTGAGGTTCTGGGTTTGAGCCTGCCACTTTTGGACTCTTGCTTGCTGAGGTGTTCCAGCGAGTGTCTCTGTAGATCTTAGAAAACTATTTCTTGATCTAAGTCGATTTAAGTTGATTCCAGCCACGAAAGCCTTTGACAATACATTGTCAAATTTGTCAATAAGTTAATTAAACCTATGGATTCTGATCTCCATGCTCATGTAGATCATTTCAATATCATTCAAACGCAACATTTACGTTATTACCAGGATTCAGGAATGTGGAAAAGTAAAAGAAAAAAAAGAGGAAGGAAGGAAGGAGAGAAGGAAGGAAGGAAGGAAGGAAGGAAGGAAAGTAGGTCTTACCTCTCGCCCTATTTTGATCACAGACTCCAGCAGGGATCCTGTGTAGCAGATGGAAGAATCCGGAATATCCATGTGGCTGCAGAGATAAAGAAAACCAAATTGAGAAATTACAAAATAGGAACAAATATCCTTCATCCTAATCAACTTCCTTCCTCTCTCACTTAGAATCATAGAATCATAGAGTTGGAAGAGACCTCATGGGCCATCCAGTCCAACCCCATTCTGCCAAGAAGCAGGAATGTTGCATTCAAATCACCCCTGACAGATGGCCATCCAGCCTCTGTTTAAAAGCTTCAAAGAAGGAGCCTCCACCACACTCCGGGGCAGAGAGTTCCACTGCTGAACGGCTCTCACAGTCAGGAAGTTCTTCCTCATGTTCAGATGGAATCTCCTCTCTTGTAGTTTGAAGCCATTGTTCCATTGCGTCCTAGTCTCCAGGGAAGCAGTAAACAAGCTTGCTCCCTCCTCCTCCCTGTGGCTTCCTCTCACATATTTATACATGGCTATCATATCTCCTCTCAGCCTTCTCTTCTTCAGGCTAAACATGCCCAGCTCCTTAAGCCGCTCCTCAGGGCTTGTTCTCCAGACCCTTGATCATTTTAGTCGCCCTCCTCTGGACACATTCCAGCTTGTCAATATCTCTCTTGAATTGTGGTGCCCAGAATTGTACACAATATTCCAGGTGTGGTCTAACCAAAGCGGAATAGAGGGGTAGCATGACTTCCCTAGATCTAGACACTATGCTCCTATTGATGCAGGCCAAAATCCCATTGGCTTTTTTTGCCGCCACATCACCTTGTTGGCTCATGTTTAACTTGTTGTCCACGAGGACTCCAAGATCTTTTTCACACGTACTGCTCTCGAGCCAGGCATTGTCCCCCATTCTGTATCTTTGCATTTCGTTTTTCCTGCCAAAGTGGAGTATCTTGCATTTGTCACTGTTGAACTTCATTTTGTTAGTTTTGGCCCATAATCTCTCTAATCTGTCAAGATCGTTTTGATCCTGTCCTCTGGAGTATTGGCTCTCCCTCCCAATTTGGTGTCGTCTGCAAACTTGATGATCATGCCTTCTAGCCCTTCATCTAAGTCATTAATAAAAATCCTGAACAGGACCGGGCCCAGGACGGAACCCTGCTGATGGCACTCCACTCATCACTTCTTTCCAGGATGAAGAGGAAGCATTGGTGAGCACCCTCTGGGTTCGTCCATTTAACCAATTACTGATCAACCTCACCATAGTTTTGCCTAGCCCACATTGGACTAGTTTGTTTTCTACTCCTTTTAACTTGCCAAGAAAAGTGTAACACAGTGCCCAACAAAGCCTTAGTATGTGTCGTAAACAGAATACACAGGCAGTCCCCAAGTTACAAACAAGATAGGTTTTGCAGTTTTGGTCTTAAGTTGAATTTGTGTGTAACTTGGAACAGGTGCATTTTTAAGTGTGATTCCAGCCATATATACACATATATATCTCTTTGGATGGCAAAGGGAAGGGTTAACACCCCTGTGGTGATTTTACATTACGCCACAAAATACACCCTGTGCCAGATGGTAATCTATATAAATAAAATGTAATGTTCATATGTGGGATTAACATAACTCAAAAACCACTGGACAAATTGACACAAAATTTGGACACAATACAAGTAACAGTCCAACAAGTGTCCATCACCCCTAAAACACACACACACACACAACCCCAGCGGAACAGACTTAAAAATCAAAAAAGTACACCATATATACATATACTGTACTATTGTACTATGCTAATAATTTAATATATTGTATGTATATATATCTTGTAAGCCGCTCTGAGTCCCCTTCGGGGTGAGAAGGGCAACACAAAAATGTCGCAAATAAATAAACAAATATACGAATACACTCATATACACATGCACACATTCATACACACACACACGAATATATATGCACAAACACACACAAATATACACATACATATACACATATATACATATACACATGCGCACACAAATATACATATATACACACACATATACATATACACATGCACACAAACTTATATACATGTACACATGCACATACACACAAATATTCACAGAAATATTCATATAGACAGGCACACACATACACAATATGCATGTACACATATAAACACACAAATACACACACACACACATATATATACACACACACACARATATATATGCAAACACACATATATACACAAATATATACACACACAAAACACATATACACAGACTGGGCCACAGCAATGTGTGGCAGGGGACGGCTAGTAATTAAATATGTGTGTYTGTGTGTGTGTGTGTGTGTGTGCTGTATCCACATATTCTGACCAAAAAAGGTTGGAAATGGCTGGCTTTTGCAGTCATGCCCAGTTCTGTGATTCCATGATGCTTCTGTGTAATTCAAGCTCCATAACATTCTGGATTGCAACCATGTTCCTTCTCCCATCAATGATGGATCATTCCCACTTCTATTTTTCCCATGAGCACAGAAAAGAGCCACCATCATGCTACTCACAACTGTAAGAGGTGGCGAATGATCTGCTCCGGAATGAGGCGTTTCTGGCTCACGTTCGGTGCGTCCCACAGAACGGCTTCACAGATGGCCCCATCTTGGAAACGCCGCAACTCTGAGCGCTGCCCCCAAAACTGCCGGAACTCCATTGCCTGCAGAAAGAGCCATCAGAGGAGGGTTAAGTAGAGAAATTCAACCATCCAAATGCAATTATAATTTTCCCCATCCTACCACCCCCATTCCCACCTGTGAAACACACCCAAAACTTCCGATATCACACCATATGGAACTAGTATCTAACAAAACTCTATCCTAATAAAGCTCCCATTTGGCTTTTTCAAAATCTATTTTTGTCTTTTTTTTTTCAAATGCCCAAAGGCCAATCTCCATTTTCTAGTGAGCTCTTCTTTGTTTCCTTCCCTGGTGTCATTGGAGACCTTGGCCATTGAGATATACCATATATACTCAAGTATAAGCTGAGTTTTTCAGCCCTTTTTTAAGGCTGAAAAAGCCCCCTTGGCTTATACTCAAGTCAAAGTTATTTATTAGTTTACTCTATTACTAGCTGTCCCCTGCCACGCGTTGCTATGGCCCAGTCTGTGTATATGTGCTTTGCGTGTATGTATATTTGGGTATATTTGGGTTACCTTCCGGCGGGAAGGTAACGGCGCTCCATGCAGTCATGCCGGCCACATGACCTTGGAGGTGTCTATGGACAATGCCGGCTCTTCGGCTTAGAAATGGAGATGAGCACCACACCCCAGAGTCAGACATGACTGGACTTAATGTCAGGGGACAACCTTTATTATGTGTATATATGTGTTTTTGTATATATATGTGTGTGTGTTTGTGTGGTTTTGATTTGATGTGTTATAATTTAATTTTTGTTTTTTGCCTTTTTAAGTCTCTTTGTCTATGTTTTTCAGTGTTTTTATGAGTGATGGTCACTCATTGGCCTGATAGGTTTATTGTGTCCAAATTTGGTGTCAATTTGTCCAGTGATTTTTGAGTTATGTTAATCCCACAAACAAACATTACATTATTATTTATATAGGAGATTGCTAGCCATCCCCTGCTGTGGCCCAGTCTGTGTATTTTGTTTGTGTATATATTTGTGTACATGTGTATATACGTGGTTTTGTGCACGAGTTGTAACGTATTATTTATTTTTTGGCTTTTTCAGTCTCTTCTGCTGTGTTTTTCAGTGTTTTTATGAGTGATGGTCACTTACTGGCCTGATAGGTGTATTGTGTCCAAATTAGGAATTGTGGGAGCTGAAGTTCAAAACATTTGGAGGACCGAAGTTTGCCCATGCCTGCTCTGTATGGTCAAACTCCATTACAAGTTGACTACAGAGTTGTGTTCAAGGACCTATTGATTCCTGGGGAATTGTTCTCCAACACAACACTATGGTCAACAACCAACAGAAGTTGACCACACAGTCACCTTGTAAGACATAAGGTGTGTTTACCTCACTTAAACTGCATTAGCTCCTGGATGTTGTAGTTTGGTGCCCTCTTCATCAGAGAAGCCTCAACACCTTGTGAAACTACAAATCCCAGGATTCCATAGCATGGAGCCATACTTTAGCCCAGGCATGGGCAAACTTCGGCCCTCCAGGTGTTTTGGACTTCACCTCCCACTCCTGGTAGGCTGTTAGGAATTGTGGGAGTTGAAGTCCAAAATACCTGGAGAGCCAAAGTTTGCCCATGCCTGCTTTAACCAGTAGTATTGCACTGCATTAGTTATACAGGGTAGATGTATTTCCTAGATATTGCTAGTGGGAACACAGGGATTGTGGTGCAGCAGGCTAAGTGTCAGCTGCATTAAGATCACTCTGACCAAAAAGGTCATGAGTTCGAAGCCAGCCCGGGTTGGAGTGGGTTTCCAACCTATTGTGTGTAGCCTGTTGTCGACCTTTGCAACCGAAAGACAGTTGCATCTGTCAAGTAGGAAAATAAGGTACCACCTTAAAGTGTGGGGAGGCTAAATTAACTGATTTATGAGGCCATAAAAAAGACTCCAGCAAAGCACTCCAGCAAAAGCATGCGGGGAATGCGGAAGTACTTCATCAGTGTCGCAGATGGACGATGAAAGCGACAGCTCCCCTGGCGGCCAGAAAAAGTTAAATAGCCTCTGTGTATGTCTGTATATGTTTGTATGTCAAAAATTGGCATTGAATGTTTGCCATATATGTGTACACTGTAATCCGCCCTGAGTCCCCTGCGGGGTGAGAAGGGCGGAATAAAAAAGCTGTAAATAAATAAATAAATTGAATGAATGTTCGAGGTTGACATTGAGCACCAGGACATTGGATCAGCCTCACCTCAGGTCTGTCCGCTTCAGGCCCTCTCTCCAAGATGCTGGTCGCAAAATCAAGGCTCAGCAAAAGCCCAAACGACAGGGACCCGGCGTCTCTGTGCTTTGGCGGATCTGCGTTGATGGACCACTGCAAAGAAAGACAAAGGGAACAAAGCCATCTGAGCCATCGCCTCATGATCCTTGCCTCTATACTTCAGCTCTCCAGGTGTTTTGTAAGCTGTTGGGAATTGTGGGAGTTGAAGTCCAACACCTGGAGGGCTGAAGTTCGCCCATACCTGCTCTATAGGATGACACTAATAGCAAGAATTTATTTATTTATTATTATTTATTTAGAGCTTTTATAACCCGGTCTTCTCAACCTCCGAAGAGGGACTCAGGCCGGCTAACAACAGGAAATTCATACACAAATAAGCTAAAACATAATAACATCATAATACGTGAACACACTAAGATACATTAAAATACAGATTGAATAATTACATAAAGCCAAGTCGTCAAGGTAAAACACAAATTCATCACCATCCGTCAATGTGCTCAGCAGTTATTGACTCGATCATCATTCTGAGAATGCTATATTCCAAAGCCAAGATTTTACCAGCTTTCTGAAACTCAGGAGGGAAGGGGAGAGAGTTCCAGAGCCGAGGGGCCACCACTGAGAAGGCCCTGTCCCTCATCCCCACCAGACACGATTGCGAAGGTGGTGGGACCGAGAGCAGGGCCCCTCCAAAAGATCTTAACAACCTTGATGGTTCATAGGGGAGAATCCATTCGGACAGGTAAACTGGGCTGGAGTCATTTAGGGATTTATAGGTCAGCACCAGCACTTTGAATTGTGTTTGGAAGCTAATTGGCAGCCAGTGGAGCTAACGCAGCAGAGGAGTAATATGCTCCCTGTACCCCGCTCCTGTTAGTAATCTGGCTGCCGCTCATTGGACTAGTTGAAGCTTCCGGGCAGTCTTCAGAGGCAACCCCATGTAGAGAGTGTTGCAGTAGTCTATACAGGATGTAACCAGAGCATGGACCACCGTGGCCAAGTCAGACTTCCCAAGGTACGGGCGCAGCTGGCGCAAAAGTTTTAATTGTGCAAAAGCTCCCCTGGCCACCGCCGAGTCCTGTGGTTCCAGGCTCAGCGATGAGTCCAGGATCACTCCCAAGCTGCGAACCTGCGCCTTCAAGGGGAGTGTGACCCTGTCAAATCTGTGATTCCATTACCGGCGGCGTCTGGGGCAAGGTGTGGGTCAGCAGCACGATCCGTCGGCCCAGCCCTCGTTCCAGCAAACGGAGGAGGAAAGGCAGAGTTGCCGCCATGTAGTTCCCTCCGTGGTCCATCAGTTCGTTGAGAAGCTTCATCTTCTTGCAGGCTGCCTGCAACTTGGAGACGTGCCTCAGGCTGAGGCAGAAACAGGAAACACTGTCGTTACTCAGTGGGCAAGCAACAGGCATAACACTATGTAACACGATTTTGGTTCGTGGGTTATAAATGCCATTTCCTAATTGGTTCTATCATAAAAACATTGGAAAAGTTTATTAAACTGCCAAAACATTGTATTTGCGGGACACCCTGCGATAACACAATTTGCGAGTCTCAATCAATTCAACATCGTTTGTGGCAGCCACAAAAACTAAGTTTTGGGAGTAGAACAACTGCTTACAAAGTAAGGACAGTACAATTAAACAAGAATTAACACTTTCAAACCAGGAACAGAATTGTTTTCATTTTTTTACATAGTGTAATAGGAACACTGCCTCAAGCCACAGGGAGAGGCGAGTAATAACAACAACAACAACAACAACAAACAAACAAACAAATGGTAGAAAAAGAGAAACATGCACTGGCAGATGATGTGAAAGGCAGTCAAGAACCAACATTGATGGAAGTAAAAAGTAGAGAACTGCTTAAAGTGCAAAAGACAAAGAGGGAATACCATAAAAACACAGTCCAGAGCAGAAGAGAAAACTGGCCAAAGAAGGCTCTCCATGGACAGTTCCAGGGAAAAATTGAGAGCCAAATTGACAAAGAAAAAACATGGCTGTGGCTCACAAATGGAACTCTGAAAAAGGAGACAAAAGAGGGCCTGATTCTGGCAGCCCAAGAACAAGCCATTAGAACCAAGGCCATCCAAGCTAGAATTGAAAAGTCAACAACAGATCCCAAATGTAGACTCTGCAAGGAAGCAGATGAAACAATAGATCCCACCCTCAGCTGCTGCAAGAAGATCATGCAGACAGACTACAAGCAGAATCACAACACCATTGCTCAGATGATTCATTGGAACTTGTCCCACAAATACCATCTGCCTGAAACAAAGAACTGGTGGGATCACAAGACGGAAAGAGTTACAGAGAATGAACACACCAAACTCCTCTGGAACTTCTGGATTCAAACAGACAGAGTTTTGGAGCACAATACTTCTGGCCTCATGATCGTGTTAAACAACAAAGTATGGATTGTTGATGTTGCAATTCCAGGTGACAGCAGGATTGCAGAGAAATAACTGGAAAAGCTGACACGATATGAGGATTTAAAGATTGAACTGCAAAGACTCTGGCACAAGCCAGACAAGGTGGTCCCAGTGGTGATCAGCACACTGGGTGCAGTGCCTAAAGACCTTGGCCTGCACTTAAACACCATTGGCGCTGACAAAATTTCCATCTGCCAGCTGCAGAAGGCCACCTTACTGGGATCTACACACATTATTCACCGATACATCACAAAGTCCTAGACATAAACACACACATACACAAGAGCTACTTCTATGCTTTCAATACTCTGAAAAGTACATACTGGAACACATGGTCAAAGGTCCGGATCAGAGGCTTGCGGGTCATGAACACCAACTGGAATCCATCCACGGTTTTGTCATCCAGAATCTCCATTGAACGTTTGGCTTCGAGCTGAATCTAAGGAACAAGAAACCACAGACACATATAGGGATGACCATGGATTCCATGATATTTGTTGGGATTTAGTGCCAGCAGACACCAAAATCCATGGATGCTCAAGTCCCATGATATGCAATGGTGTAGCAAAATGCTCTCCCTGAGATCACTGCGACCCTCATCCAATGACCGATAAAGACTAAACTTGGCACAAAGAGCCCCCATGACCCACTCTCCATCTTGGTGCACTTTGGAGGATGATGGACCACAAATGCTGGGACTTGCAATGTTTTTACTCACTTCTTGAGACCATCGTGACCCACACCAATGACTGGTCAAGATCAAACTTGGCACACAGAGCCCCCA